GGGCTGGCCGTGGTCCTGCACCGCCACCACCAGGCTCTGCTTGAGCGCGTCTCTGTCCAGCAGGGCCCGCGCCGTGCGCACCTCGCCCGTGTGCAACCCCACCGCGAAGAGCCCTGGCTCGCTCGCCTTGAGCAGACGGTAGGACAGCCAGGCGTTCTGGCCAGAGTCTCTGTCCACCGCCACCACCTTGGTGACCAGGTAGCCAGGCTCTGCGGAGCGGGGTGCCAGCTCCACACCAGTGGAACCATCGGTGGGGATGGTGGGGTACAGGATCTCTGGCGCGTTGTCATTTTGGTCCACCACGAACAGGTTCAGAGACACGTTGCTGCTGAGCGGAGGGTCACCGCTGTCCTGTGCTATCACTTGCAGATGCAAGTCTTGGAACTGCTCATAGTCGAAGGAATGCAGCACATACAGAACACCAGTGTTGGAGTTGATGGAGATGTAGGAGGATATGGGCCGTCCGGGAAGGCTGTCCTCGGCCAGTGAGTAAGTGACCTGGGCGTTCACTCCATAGTCGGGGTCATAGGCGGTCACGGACATTACGGAGGCTCCTCTAGGGTTGTTCTCCACGATATAGGCGGAGTAGAAAGCGTCAGAGAAGGCGGGCGGGTTGTCGTTGGTGTCTGCTACTTTCAGTGAGATATGAGTTTCCGTGGACAGGGGCGGACTTCCTCTGTCACTGGCGGTCACCGTGATGTTGTAGCTAGGAACCTGTTCCCGGTCTAGGAGCGCGTCTGTCACTAAACTATAGTAATTTCCATAAGACTTTTCTAATGTAAATGGCAGGTTCCCTCGGATGAAACAGATCACTTGTCCATTTTCCCCAGAGTCTTGATCATTTACATTTAAAAGGGCAATTAATGTCCCTCTGGGAGAGTTTTCCAGAATGGAGCTGGAGAGAGAGGTGACAACTACTTCAGGGGCGTTATCATTCACATCCAATACTGTGATCAAGACTTTGGCTCGTGCAGAATACCCTGCGTTATCAACTGCTTGCACTTCCATCTCGTAGGATTCTGATTTCTCATGGTTCAGCTCCCCTATTGTTGAAATTGTCCCTAAATTAGCATCTAGTTTGAAAACTTGGGCTGCCTTGTTGTCCACATAACGGAAGGAATATATCACTTCCGCATTGGCTCCTTCATCAGGGTCGGTGGCCCTTACCAGAAGCAGCTTAGTGCCTATGGCCACATTCTCTGGAACGCTTACGCGGTACTCAGACTGAGCAAATACTGGTGCATTGTCATTCACATCAACTACCATCACATGGATGCGCGCGGTGCCTGTGCGGACTGGGTCACCCCCATCGGAGGCGGTGAGAACAAGGTGATGAACAGCCTTCTGCTCCCGGTCCAAGGCGCGCTCCAAAACCAATTCTGGGTACTTGTTACCATCCGCTCCGCTTTGCACGTCCAGGGAGAAATGAATATTACTACTGAGTCCATAGCTCTGGAGAGAGTTCTTCCCGATATCCAGATCCCAAGCGTGGGGAAGAGGGAACCGCAACCCAGTGGCTGCGTTTTCACTCACTTTTATTTCCAATTCATCTTCCCGGAAATAGGGGGCATTATCGTTAATGTCTCTCACTTCTACCACTACCCCATATATTTTTACTTTATCCTCCAACAGAATCTCCAGATTTAATTGACACTTTAAGACGCCCATACAGAGCTCTTCCCGGTCTATCCTGCCTGCGGAGATTAGGCTGCCACTTCGAAGGTTCAGAGCGAAAAGTTGAGTCCTACCTCTGGAGACTATACGGACTCCGCGCTCTTCTAGTTCCTGGGGCTCCAACCCCAGGTCTTTGGCGATGTTTCCCACCCTAGAGCCTTTCTCCAGCTCCTCAGGAACCGAATAGTGAATTTGGGCGCATCCGGTTTCCCACAGAATCCCCAGGAGAACTCCCAGCAGGACAAGCCCTTTGCAGTCCTGATGCAGTCGCTCAGGAATCATCGTCACTTTCCTGGAGGATATTACTTCCAATTCTTCCCCAGACCACCAAAGTCAGGACCAGTTTTCCCCGTCTTCAGAATCCAGCAGTTTCTTCACAGTTCCGGAGATGGTTAGTTTCTATCTGGGCTTTGTGCTTCAGGTGCCTGCAGGGCAAGCAGGAGGCGAGCAGAATCTCTGTTTTTCTCTCCCTGATTGGTGAACAGCGGCGCTCAGAGTCCTAACCAATTACTGCACAATCTTGAACTCCAGGAAGGATATTTGGTTTTTGTACCTTAAATAGCTCCACCTACTGTTCTTCAAGTAGGGATGAAAGTAGAGCCAACTAAAAAACTACAGCGTTCCTTTTAATAGAAATTTCAGTCAACTTCTTTGTATTTTTCAAAAATTTTTCATACAGAGCCGCTTTCTTGAGATTATTTTCTGTAGCTGTATTGTTTTGCCAATGAGCTTTTAAATGAGTGTGAAGTTTCCAAAGTAATTTTAACCGTATAATTTTAGTGCACATAATTTGATATCACCACCCCCAAAAAACACCTATTATTTTCCTAGGTGTTTCCTATTTTGAGAAATCATATAATAGAATAAATTAAACTTTCTCAGTTGGCTGCAATAAGGGACAGATTTTTACAGATTTTTAAAATATACCTAAATAGAGGAGCTATTTTAAAAGGTTGTCAATATTTAATATTTAGAAATCAAAATTTCACAATATGGAAATCTAAAAATAAATGCAATTGTATACATTATCAGAAGCACACTGACAAGAAGTCAAGTGAGTAAGACACATTAACATTTTTAGGACAAAACTGAAGCATTTCAACTTGCATTTACTGGAAATAAGGGTAGTACCTTACAACTTACTAATACATTATATTTCAAAATCATGTTTGAGAAAATTAGCAATCCAAAGAATATTATAAGCTTACCTTTTTCTGAGTAACAAACCCAATTCCATTTACTGAAAATGACTGGTAATACATTTGAAAGCCCGTTAAAATATAGGAAAAAATTCTCACTATTCTGCTTTCATGAATGTAAATGTTTGGATTCTGAGGATAAGCATATTTGACAGGCATGCCACAACATATCTTTAAAACTGGGAGGAAATCTACAGGTAGTTCTGATAAAAGACTGGGAATAAAACTGGCCTATTCAGTGAGATTCAAAGAATCCCTAGCAAATGTAATGGAGTATTATCAAAATATTACTCTGTCCTTTAAAAATAAAACTTGTCAGGGCACCTGGATGGCTCAGTGAGTTAAGCATCTGCCTTCGGCTCAGGTCATGATCCCAGGGTCCTGGGATTGAGCCCTAGTTGGGCTCCCTGATCAGCGGGGAGTCTGTTTCTCCCTTTCCTTCTGCCCTCTCCCCAGCTAGTGCTCTCTCTCTCAAATAAATAAATAAAATCTTTAAAAAATAAAACTCTTCTTGTGCATTTTCCTCTCACTTTGTAGTTATAGAGAAAAAGCCTTATATACTCAAGATATTGATGTTCTGAGAAAGAAACACCCACAGAAAGAAAACATTTATGCCTCAGTTACAAATATTTCTGTGGCAATAGCATAATACCCACTTGTCACCATAAAGGAGATATTGTGTGTACGTGGATAAAGACTATCTCAAAATTGTCAAAATATTTCAAAATACTTCAGGGCTAATAATGAAGTTACTGGCCCACAGAGAAAGGAAAAGAAAATACTGAGAGTGGGTAAGCAAATGAAGTGATAGTAGATAGGATCTGTTTAGGACTTCTTTTGCCAAAATGTTTTGAAAATTAAACCAAACCCGTTTATTGACACTCACGTGAGCAGAATCATCAGTGTGAGAGTTTAATTTGTTATTCTCCTCAGTGAAACTTATTACCAAAGAAGCTTCATTAGAGAGTTCTTGTTGGAGGCCCATTTCTGACGTCATAGTGAGAAAATTAAGCCTTGCTGTCTAAGAATCAGAGGCAACGTACATATTGTAGGAATAAGGCAAAGTTCCCCGGCTGTAGTTGGGAGAAACCCCTGGTCCAGTCTTATAACAGAGACCAGGCTGAAAGCAGGTCCAGGCAGCGGGGCGGGAGGAGCGTCCCAGGCGCAGGGCAACAGCCAGAATCACCGCGAGGAGGAAGAGCACCGAGATCAAGGCCAAAGTCACCACTAGGTAAAACTGCAGTTCAGCCTGGGGGTCAGAGGGCGCCGGGCGGTCGCTGACATCTGGCAGCACTTCTTGTAGGCTGTCGGCGAAAACCAGGAGCAGCGTGGCTGTGGCCGAGAGGGGCGGTTGTCCCCCATCCCGTACAGCGACCAGCAGGCGCTGGCGGGCCGCGTCCCTGTCGCCCAAAGCGCGCGCCGTGCGCACCTCGCCCGTGCGCAGCCCCAGGCTGAAGAGTCCCGGCTCGCTGGCCTGCAGCAAGTGGTACGACAGCCAGGCGTTGTGTCCCGAGTCGGCGTCCACCGCCACCACCTTGGTGACCAGGTAGCCGGGCTGCGCGGCGCGCGGCACCGTGTCGAAGAGCGCCGAGCCGTCGGGCCCCAGCGCCGGGTACAGCACCCGGGGCGCGTTGTCGTTGCGGTCGCCCACCAACACGCGCAGGCTCACGTTGGCGCTGAGCGCGGGCGAGCCCTGGTCGCGGGCCTGCAGGGTCAGCTCGAAGGCGCGCAGCTGCTCGTGGTCGAAGGCGCGCTGCGCGAACACCACCCCGCTCTGCGCGCTCACGGACACGTAGGACGCCAGCGCGCGTGGCTCCAGGTCGCTGTTCACGATGGAGTAGGAGACGCGACCGTTGGGCCCCAGGTCGGGGTCGGAGGCGCTGACTTGTGCAATGGAGGCACCCGGAGGGTTGTTCTCGGCAATGTGGACCAAATAGAAAGCCTGTTCAAAAACTGGAGCATTGTCGTTGACATCTGCGATGTGCAGAGTGATGCTTGAGCTGGAGGAAAGGGGTGGCTTTCCCCTGTCAGTGGCTGTGATGGTGACATTGTATGAAGGGGTCTTCTCCCGGTCCAAGGACCCATCTGTTACAAGCTTGTAGTAATTATTGGCAGAAGATTCAATTCTGAAAGGAACTGTTTCTTTTATGAGGCATGTGACCTCTCCATTTTCGCCCAAATCTTTGTCATGTGTTTTGAACAGAGCAATCACCATCCCATGTTCTGCGTCCTCGGTTATGGAATTAGACACTGAAGTGAAAATAACCTCTGGGGCATTGTCATTCTCATCTAAAATTTCTATTATAATTTTACATTCAGTGGCCATGCCTCCACCATCCTTGGCTTCTATGCTCATGGTATAACTACTCCTGATTTCGAAGTCTATAGGACCTTTGGATTTAATTTCTCCATTTTGATGGTCTAGCATAAACACATTTCCAATATCTCTTAGTGTTTTGAAGGAGTAGGTGATCTCTGCATTGATGCCCTCATCCTGGTCGATGGCTGTCACCTTTAGCACAGAGGTGCCCAAGGGCAAGTTCTCTGGAAGGCTAACTTTGTACACATCCTGACTGAACACTGGGGGGTTATCGTTGGCATCAGTGACCTCAATCCTGATTTGAATGGTGCCACTTCGGACTGGGTCACCCCCATCCACTGCAGTCAGGACTAGAAAATGGGAGCTCTGGTGTTCCCGGTCCAGGGGCTTCTCCAATATTAATTCTGGGGCATTCTTGCCTTCAATCTTATCCTTCACCATCAGAGAGAAATACTCATTATAGCTGAGTTGATAACTCTGGAGAGAGTTAGGTCCTACATCTGCATCTATAGCAGATTCCAGACCAAACCGAGTTCCTAGAATTGCAAGTTCATTGATTTGTAAAACAATGCTATTTTGGGGGAAATACGGTGGATTGTCATTTATATCTTCTATCCTCACCATTATATGAAAAACATTTAGAGGATTCTCTGCCACAATCTCTAGGGGCACAACACACAGAGTGCTTTGGGGACAGAGCGACTCCCTATCTATTCTGTCACTGACAAGTATGTTGCCATTCTCCCTGTTTACGGTATTGTTTCTCTGCACTAACTCTGAGGTTGCGGTTCAGTAAATCCCGTACTTGCAGCCCCAGGTCTTCAGCAATGTTCCCTACTACTGAGCCCCTGGCCATTTCTTCAGGAATAGAGTAGCGGATCTGCTCAGAGAGCCCCCCACAGAAAAAAGGCAGCAGGAAGGGAAAGAGTACTTGCCGCTGCCCGGTATGACTCCTCTGCTTCGCCCTAGTTCCCATCCTTTTCTTCGCTGCTGCAGCCTCAGATGTTACGAGAAGATGCTTTACCAATTGTGTTTAAAATATTTACTGCTAATGCGTAGAAAACTCAACACTCTGTTTCAAGGCATTCCATTCCATATTCCAGAATCATTTGCTGAGCAGAGAGCCCGAATCTGGGCTTTATCTCCTTTCAGAACTGCTTCCGTGACTGCGCAGAAAACCACTTAGGTAGATCGTGGACTCCAGTTCTTGCAGCGCATTGGCCAACAGCGGCGCTCGGAGTCTACTTAGAAAACTGCAGTCCGAAGCCTTGCAAATAATGAGATTCGCTATTCTGACAGATTTGTTGGACTGATGTATAGGGAATGAGGCAATAAATGAGTTTTGGATGTGTCTATTTTCTAGTGTTTACTATCAAAGAAGGTTCCTTAGAGATCTGATTCTACAGAAGAGTCATTAACCCAGTATAGATAAGTTTATCTTTTTCTAATCAGAGGCAGGGCACATACTGGAGGAATAAAGCAAAGTCTTCTCTCCAGACTTAGAACAAAGACCACATGGTAAAATAGCCTCACCAAGTGATATGGGGAAATTTTTACAGCCATGAAATAATACCCAGTATTAGCTTCAATCTTATGTGCAGATAATTTTCCTCCTCCTTTCTCCAGAGCAAACTGGAGGAGAGCTCAAAGGCATAATCAGGATAAGGATGACCAATGACATATAGCCTTCCTTGCTACTTATAAAGAGATTTATGAAAGGGATTATCAATTATTGTACACCTTCACCATAAACAGAATATAAAAGCATACCCTAGTAGGTTACCATAGGAATTTAATGACATGCAAAAATGTGAGGTGTTCTATTTTTATCCTTTCTTTAACTGGACCATATGTTGTACCATAACAGAACTTTATCACTACCTCTGAGTCAAAATAACTGTCTTAATCTCAAGTTTCAAAGCTAACCTTTCCTTTTTGTTTTCCAAGATTTTGGTTGCCAGCTCCTAACTGTTCAGACGATGTTTTAAAAATATATATGGAACAACCTCCTTCTCCCCACAAATACTTCATGTCCTTTTTATTCATCTAATTTCAATTCAAGTAAAATGCCTTAAGTCTTTTTTTTCTGTTTGGAATTCCATAGGCATAAAATTTATCCCTACATGCTCAAGGCACTCTGACATTTTTCTTGATGTTGGGACAAATTTAGGCATCTGTTGCAGGATTTCCCTTTCCTACAGTTGAAATTCTTTTTGCCCAAACATTAGACAATTATAGTTAAATATATTAAGGTCAATCCCTAGATGAGAAAGGAAAACTTGAAAGGGAACCTGAACATGTAAATAATCTGGGTCAAATGTTTCAAAGCGGCATGAAGAGTGCTAAGCTGAACTGATTGTGATAATTCCTGTGATCAAATATCCTCAAAAATTTCCTTTCCTCATTTGACTTTCCTCGACATTGTTTCAGGTAACATGTAGGTCATTAGGTAACTACAAGGGCTTCAATTACAAGTTGGTTCTGAATATAAGGATTGAATATACTTACATATAATACAAAATGAATTTTCAAAGGAAATAAAAAAGGAATCCATGACTCACAGGCATATTGAAAACAGACAACAAAAAAAGGAAATACCAAATAGGAATACCAGGTAAATCAGTCTCATAAGGTCCAAATAACTACTGCATCTCTTATATTTACAAACTGGTCCACATCAGTAAATCTGAAAAATGTAAGCATGTTTAGCCAATTTGTAAATAACTTTTTGAGAAGCACTGGATCAAAATTATTTCTGCAAGTGAATTTACCACATTAAAAAATCTTGAACACACACTAAAGTACAAGTAAAAGAATAAAAGGAAATAATACCAGTTCAACAATCCAACTACTCAGAACAATCAAATGACTGCACTGTAGAAACAGAAAAGATGTCTAGAACTTGAGGGGAAAAAAGTGTACATTTTCTCTACCAAGAGAATCTAGTAGTAAAAAGGCAGTCAATATATCTGTTTTGGTAGTATAAATAAAAGAAAGTTGAAATACTCAACATAAACATATCACCACCCACCAAAGATCAAAATAGAATTCTTTCATGCTCAGAGAAAAGCTTACATCTGTAAACACCTACATGTAAGTGTGTGTATATGTGTGTATAGATAAGGAAAAGAGCTACAGAGTGTATCCCACTGAATGAAGAGGGCCAAATTTGAACATTAGAAGTAAAGCAAATAATGGTAGAATATAATTATGAATTAGGGAAGGCAATGTGAAGTTGTAATAGGGAAATAAATAAAAACTGTGAATCATTAATTTGAATCCTAACCAGTTTACACTGATAGCCACAGACACTGATGATAGAAAATTTTACTAAAATTTAACTTATTATAAAGCAAGCCATGATAGCTGAACTAGACCTTTAGAATCAAAAGAGAATATACCATAGGGGAGGAAAAAACTTTCAGAAAAATGATGGTAATTTGTTGAAAGATAAAGTACAGGAACTCACATGTATTGCTCTAAATATGTATGAACTGAATATGTTCCCTTCCCCCACACTAAAAACAGGGTTGGTTTTTGTTTTTTTATGTTGTTTTGTTTTGAAAAAGCCATTTAAAAGACTTGCGCGGAGATACTAGCAACTCAGAGTCAGGTAATAAATCTCACCTGATTATTCGTGGAGTCAAGATTGCCTAAACCAGCAGCTGAATCTTCAGCTATCAAGAGTGGCTCGCTTTTCTCACAGCTCTCCTGACTGAGGAGCGTGTCCGCGTAGTTGGGCTGGGGGAAGATCACGTGACTCTTCCGCGAGTCCGCGGTCAGGGAGACCTCGTGGGAATAGGTCTGCAGGAAAG